TTTTTCCTAAATTGTATTTTGATATTCTAATATCTGATTTTGTTTCAAAAATACATATAGAACCCAATTTTTGACCTATTTTTCCCCAAAATTATTTTCAAATTCATAATCTACTTATTTTCTTCATTTTTACACTAAATAAAAATTTAAAAATTTAAAAATTATATTTTATACATTAATTTTAAATATATCAAAATTAATCTCGGGTATTACAAATATAAGTTTCTAATTATTTTTATTATTCATTTATAATTTATATTATGTGTATAATAAATATATAGTGGATAACTACAAATATTTTAAATACTTAATTGGAACAAGTGGCCTGTAAATTTTTCTTTACCTATTTTGAAAAGGGTCTAACTGAATATATATATATATATAGAGGGTACATAACTATTTTTAGTAAATACAATCATGTATTAATTAGATATGATTTAGTGAAATCCAACTTTATATTAAGAAGATTTATCAGGATCCTCATTTTTATACCAGTATCTGCTTAATTTTACATTGGATTTTTTCTTCTAAATATAACAACATGTTCATCTCCACTATAAATACAAGTAAGAGAAGCTCAAACTTTCATTAAAAAAATTAACAAAGCTCATATTATATACACCTCTCTCTATCTCTCTCTCTCTCTAAGCCACCATACATAACCCAGTCAGCCACCAAAAAGAAGATGTCACCCTCATTTCTCAAGTTCACTTTTCTTGTTCTCCTTCTGGTTTTTACCACCGGTAATTTTCTCCTCATACACCTTTGGTATTCATTACTGTTCTATTGTAATATTTTACCGTTTTGTATATGTTGATTATGTATATTCTCTCGTGTTTGTACGTATATTAAGCGATTAAGTTCTGAGTGCAGGTAATGCGAGAAACATAAACATTCCATGCAATACCGTAGCTGATTGTCTTCCACCAGGAAAGTGTGAATGCAAGATGAATTTGTGCTTTTGTCACCCTGCTGAAAATGATTCTATACTTGATGCTCTTGAAATCAACCATGGAAGCAGCAGTTCTGGATACAAAAACCCAGTACCCCCTGTAACTTCATCTGCTGAAACGATACCGATAAATTAATTTGTTATATGTCAAAATACATATATGGGAAATGTGTAACAAGTCTTCTCTAAATAGTAATAATAAAAGTTTAAGTGTCAAATAATTGAATTACTTATTGTGTCTGCATTCTACATTTATTTTAGCTCAAAGATAATGGAGATCTTATTTGAAATTATTAAAATTGAATTTCATCTGGATAGAAAACAATTTATTTTTTTTTCCAGTTCTAGGTGAATTATTTGATTAATAAATAGACTAATTTTAATAATATATAGTACAATTATGGTGAATTGACATGTCTTTTTAGTGGCTGGCTCACCAAAATGAGATGGGGAAAGGACCTTCTCTAACATTGAGTTTCCATTTATTCTTCTAGTAATTCATTAGTTTTATTAATTATATAAATCGTGTATCTTAATAATAACATAATTTTTAAAGGTGGTATGCGTAATACAATTTTTTAATGAAAATATACAGAATACGTAACTTATAACTCAACTCACATTTTCGTATAATAGAGTTTGAAAGTATTTATTTATCGGTTAACTAAAGAGTAAATGGTATAACTATATTCATCTAACAAATAATGTTTAGATTAAGTACTTTTTTATTATAAATATATATATTTTGTTTATATAGAAATTCACATACACTTTATTAATCATATAAATATATACATTAATAATGATACAATTTTCTTAAAATAAGACACATATCACAACATCTTAAATCAAAATATACAAAATATATGACTCGAATTCACACGTTTTATGTAATAAAATTTGAAAATACTCGTCGTCTAATTAAAAAATTTACAAGGATACATATCCCGGCTTAACTATTTCTTAGGATCGGCAGGAGGCTTAGACTTACCACCATCTTGAATATCTCCGGCCTCAACAGTGCGAACCTTAAATCTCTCTGGCCTCAAAGATGGTGAGCCAACGCTTAAACTCCTCTTCAACTGACTCGTTGTCACTGCAGCCCGATCATCATTGCCTCTTTCTGGCGAGACCGTCTTGCCAAATTTCTCGAACAATTCAGCAAACTCATTTTGAAGTACCCCTGGAAGCAAGTTGTACAGCAACTCACGTCTTTGAAGGTAGAGTTGCCTGAAAAACTCTACCAACATCATCAACCGCACGTCCATTTTTCTTCTTGATGATGATGATGATGATGATGATGATGGTGAAGATGATAATGAGGATGATGACGAGGATTTTTCTACCTTGGCTTCGATTTCATGGAAGTTATCAACATGATTTGTAGTGTAGAAACCACTACTTTCGAGCAGCGATATATCGTGATTTCCTGTATGGTGTCGATGATGATCTAACGATGGAAAACCATGTGGGTTATAAACTTTGGGATCCATACAATCAGAAAGCCGAAGCTTGTGAGGATTTTCCATGGATTTATTTTACGGAATCTATCAAGGGAATAATGGTAAAATTATCAAACAGGATGATGAAGAGATTGAGGTATGAATATAATGTTGATATAATCTTGGTGTTAAATCAGACGACAGAACAAACATGTTTTAATCTGCTATAAATGTTTTTATGGTGTGTATATATATACAGAGAGATGTTTCAGGGTATGATTTGGTCGTTCATCTAAACAATTTATTAAAATTTCCACACCAAATATTAAAAAGAAAATTATGGTAGCTGACGGATGATCTTTTAAAAAACTAAATAGATAGTCATGATAAGGAGAAATTGCCTGTGGCTGCTTATGTGCGAAGCTACGACTATATATAATTTGTCCACGTTTCAACTTTGAGTGTGCATATATATATATATATATATATATAATATCAGATTTTCTTTTTAGAGATATATAAACAATTTATGGGAATTTCGTTTAAGATCTTATTGTTTCCTTCCCAAGTTAAGCATTCATCGTCTCATTGAAGGAAGCTCACTTATACATATACATATATATATATATATTATGTAGCGTAATGCGTCTCAACTACATATGAAACTTGGAAAAAAACCAATATTATATCTTAATTGAAAGGTTTGCATTAATATTTTTAGTAAGGGACACGTTAAGTTGTTGAAGTAGCGGTGGTAATAACACTTCAATTATATTATACACATATATATATAGTATCTCAAAGTATATCTATTATCTATATATATATATATATATATATATATGCATATAGGTTGCCTCACGGCTTTTACAAGAAGAAAAGAAAAATTAGAAAAGTCTCATTGTCAGTTGATACTGATACACCATATGCTTTATTGTTAAATAATAAACTTGAATTTATATTCTCGATATTTAAACCAGTAAAAAATGAAAAAGAAGATGTCAAATAGCAGACAAGAGCATGGAGGGATATGAAAATCAAGACAGTAAGAAAGTTAATTAATGAGCTATAAAATCAATGAATATATAAATACAGAAGGGAATAAGGTTTCTAAATATTAAACCAGGAATTCTAACTCTGATATTCTAATAAATAATAAAGTTAAATTAAATCATAATCTGCTTTGATCATCAAACATGACTGGATTATTCTATACGATCATATTTACATGAGAAAGTCAAAGAGTATTTGTCCTTGTTTGATCAAGAGATGGAAACAAGATAAGATTTTGAACATATTATTGTTCAGAGGGGACAAGACATGAATCGATGCAAGTCATTGCTCTTTACAAATTCTATTTCTCCCCAGCTATAACACCAAATACTACTATTTATTTTACAACAAAAGCAAATTGCAATGATAGATCCTACAGGACTATTTCCGAAATCTTCTTCCTTGAGATTACCATGAATAACACAAGAGATCGCTAAACTATCTATACATATCTGGTCTCAAGTGATCATTGTAAAATGCAAAGTGATTACCGGGAGGTATCCCAACTGACTGGCTTGATCGGAATGTTGGAAACTCTTGTTCAGACAGCAGCCGTGAACTCAAGTCAGGATGTGTACGGAATGAGGGATGGGTGTATTGACTGCCAGGGGGCAGACTTGAACTTAAGAAATTATCAAAATTTGGTTTCTCAGTTGATATTCTTGATCCACTCTCTGCCTTGATAGTGAACTGTCGATGATCCATTGTAGAAACAGATGGAACATCTGAAGACGGGATGGTTGAAATACTAGACCTAGTATCCTTGTAAGTTTGCCTGGAAAATTGTGCACCAGAAAGCAGTCGATCACCACCATGAAAACTTGGCAAAGTATGCAAATACGAGCTTATAAAAAGTTGATCACTAGCAGTTCGTGCAACACCTGCGTCAGGAAAATGGTTTGCCATATCTAGTTGAGAACCTGAACCCACGTAATTATCTTTAGTGGCATCGTCTGACAATGTAGGTATTCTAAAAAGTCTAGCACATCCACCAGGAATCTCTATGTTACCCCCAATCCTTCTAGCAGGAACAGAAGGAATAATTTCTTTTCCGAAAGATCCAGCTTCCAGCAAGGGAAATTTACCGACGTCAACTTCTATTGGCATTGAGTGTTCAGTGGGTTTAAGAACCAGTCCAGCTTCTGCTGAAGGAATTGTACCCATTTTCTGTTGTAGTGATAACTTAGCCTTCTTAAGTGCATCCAGCACGCCATCAAACCCACTAGATGTTTCCCTTGCAAACAAGTCATTTTGGCTCCCAGAAGCTTCTCTATAGGAACTAGAACTAGCATCTCTATTCGCCGAGAAGACAATATCTGTCTGAATCCCTTGGGGAACATCTAGATGCAAGTTATTATAGGAGCAATCAGAAGGCATACAATGATTGCTCTTCAGGCTCTCTTGATTCTGCTTTCCCTCGGCCACTGGAAATGCAGAATCTTTGACTGCAGATTCAGCACTGTTTTTATCATTCAAGCTTCCCATAGCATCATGTAGAGGTCGGAGCAAGCCATTAGACTGATATTTGAATTGTTCTGTGGAGAAGCAACGGCCCTCCACCTTGGACCTTGCCTCTTGGACCTGGGAGGCAACTGTACCAGAATCATATGGAGCTTGGGACTTGATTTCATCTCTTTCATCAGTGACATCAGAGTGGTTCCCATGATCGCCTGAATCCTAAACATTTTTGGGAGACATCATAATTTCAGGAGTTATACATATAAAAGCTTCATAAGAGGAAAATTAAGCTGTCTAAAGAAGGAATTAAAAGAAAAAGAAAGATATAGCATCTGAATATGCACTTCAAGTAATAGTTTCATTGACACCAACAGGAAGCATGCATATCTCCTGCAATTTGATCAGAATTATCTGTTATGCTTAACATCTCACAAAAACATTTTACTTCAAATAGCTTAAACTTCAAAATGACATGTAGCTTGCTGCCTCTTCCCATTAACATGTCCATCTGAATGAATATTTTTCTGTATCTCTTTTCTCCAGCAGTCAGCAGAGGTCAGAGAATAGTTTTAATCTTCATCTAGAGTTTGTGAAATTTGCATGTGTTTTTGCCTGTGTGTATGCATGTAGCTCTTGTTCAGGGGAAGGGGGACGTAATGAAGGTTTCGAATTTTTGGGGCAAGGACTGAGACTGAAGTTTGCAAATTTCTCCACTTGTAGGAACAATTACATTTGTAGACCGGATCTTCCTAAAAAGTTTTCCATAGCAATGTTTGTGGTTCATTGGCCACCTAAACCACAACCTCTAACCCTGCAACTATGTAATTTCTAAATCTGTGACAAACAAGAAGTTTTCAAATCTCATTTCCAAAGTCTTTTGAGATAAAAGTTTTATTTGCAAAACTGGTTATTAGAGCAATTTAACTGGTATTATGTCGTTTATGTTCAATTAAATTAAAGCAGCAAAAGGCCACCAAGTCTTTGACTAAATAGTCTGTACGTCCTTCCTTTAATGAGAGATTGTAGGTTTAAGTCAAATTTTGTTTTCCTATGTGTTGTTGATTAGGAAATTGTCTTATGATTGGTGTGTATATGTTACTTAATTAATCAAATGTATGTATTTTACTTTTTAAAAAATTAAATCAGGAAAAGGCTGCCCGAAAAGGATTTTTTAAGGAACACTTGTTATTTCAGTTTCCAAAGTCTTTTAAGATAAAAGTTTCATTTCTACAAAACTGGTTCTGAATTAATTTCAAATGTGGTTTAAATTAAATCTGCAAATACCTGATCGAAATGCGTAGAGTTACTAAACAAGGCTGATCACAAGATAGATTTGTTTCCTAAAGTGTAGGAGCCGAATAAGGAGGATCTGAATTTGATTCAATCCCATAAAATCAGTGTAAATCACTTCCCTTCCTAGGAGACTCAACTTAGGAGGATTCTTGCCTAAATTGTTGGGCCATGACTTTGTTAACCTCTTCCATATTTGAAATTTGGATGTTCTAAAAATAATACACAGAATTAACAAACAACATGGTATCAGAACCGCCTCTGATACCATGTTGACAAATACAGGATGAGAAGCCAGCACATCGCGATCTGAAGTCATTTGACCCCATGAAAACTTTCCAGCACAACTAGTGGAGGAATGACAGCCCTGCAAAGTCTATCACTGGACACAACTACACGGCAAAATTACCTTTCCATGGTTGGAAAGGACAATAACCTCACTAGAAGCTGTGCAGTTCCTCCACCAAAAGA